GGAGCTCAGGCAGGTGCTGCTGACGTGTCAGCCACATGCGTACGCACGACTGAATGACAACGGCGCTGTGGTTGCGCTGTTGCTCCATGGTTTCGCGTGCACGTGTGTGTGCCCGGTCTAGCGCAGGCCCGTGCTTCCGCCGACAGAGCCACGTGAGCACGTGTCGCTGGATGCAGGCTGCCGCTGCCGTGCGCATGCGCTGCTGCGCCTCGGCCTGCTGCCGCTGCAGTCGCTTTAACTGTTCCTGCACCTCAAAGAGGAACTGCTCTTGCTCGGGCGCCCCACCATCACCATCACCATCACCATCACCATCTGCTAGTGAATCGTTGCCTGTGTCTGCACTCTGATCGCCCTGCCGCCCCTGTTGACTGGCACCGGCGTCATTAACGGCTGCTTGTGCGTCCTGTGTATCGTGGTCCGTGTCATTCGCCCGTTGCAGTGACTTTGGCGGCCCATCGTGCATGAGCTCCTGCTCCACCGCCGCAAGCATGTCCTCCAGCTCCAGCACGCCCTGCAGCATCGCATTCGCCTCCGCCGCGTCAATCTCTTCCGTGTCTGCGCTGCTAACGGCATCATTGGGTGGGGGTGGTGGTGGTGGTGTGGTGGTGGTGGTGGTGTTGGTGGTAGTGGTGGGAACTGTGTCTGGCGAGACATCTGTAGATGCGTGCTCTGCTTGCTGTGACGGCGACAATGCTGAATGGGCTTGTGCAGACTGTTCCTCCTTTCCTTCTGGGGTTGCGGTTGGGCCCGTGCTTGCTTGGCTCTCATCGCGTGAACTGTTTGCATCCGGTTGGTGCTGCTGTTGCTGGGAGCGCTTGGCGACTGTGGCAGCGGCTTGCTGGCGCCGTTGTGTGCGCCGCCGCCGCGCTTGCGCTGGCGGGGTTGTCGCCCGGTCAACCCAGGTGGCTCGTTCGCGCGCTCGTTCAAGCACTGTGTTGACAAATGCCGCCACCAAATCTGGCCCTTCATCGCTGTCATCATTGCCGCTGCTGGGCCGTGCGTCGCTGTTGCTGTTGTTGTTGCTGCTGCTGCTGCTGCTGCTGCCGCTGTTGTTGTTGTTGTTGTTGTTTTCCATGGCTTCGGGCTTCTTATTGTCTTTCCGCACTCTAGGGTCGTTGTTCTTGGAGTCGACAGAAGGGCCTGAAGAGTACACTGGCGGTGAGACGCGCTCTCCTACCAATGCAAGAGAGCTGCTATCCACACCCGCTTGCCGTATGGACTCATTTCTCAAGTTGACTGTGACCTGAGCTGGGTGCTGCTTCGCCGAGGTTGTTGTTGTTGCTGCTGTTGCTGTTGCTGTTGGTTGTCTTGAGATTTGTCTTGCGTTGTCGTTGTCGCTGTCGCTACGGCGGTCATTGTCTTGCGAGTGTACGAGAGGCTCCACGTCATCTTCGCTGTCGCTGCTGTCGCTGTACTGGAAGCTGTCCAAGCGTGGATCCCACGTCACGCTCCGCGACGACGATGATGACACCCACGCCATCTTGGGGTCGGTGGTGGTGGTGGTCGATGGTCGTTGCGCGAGCGAAATTCAGCCAGTCCTTGGTGATTTCATCTTGTACTGTCGCAAGCCGTCCTCGCACCCATTCGACGGTTGCTCGTTGTGGTTGCCTTGTGGTTGTCTTGTGTGCGTGCCCACGACGATGGCGTCCCCGGAGACGAGGCGGGTGCTGGCGAAGCTGAAGCAGGAGCCGGCCAACAACAAGTGCTTTGAGTGCGGCGCACACAACCCAGCGTGGGCAAGCGTCAAGTGAGTGGTGGTGGCAAGTAAAGAGCGAGTTGTCGTCGAGCATTGTGGAGCATTGTGGTGGAGCAGACATGATGTGAGGGAGGTTGTGCGTGATGTGTGCTGTGACCAAGAACGAAAAGAAGAACAAGTGGAGGAGATGCCGCGTGTGTGTGTGTTTGTGTGTGTGTGTGTGTTTGTGTTTGTGTGTGTGTGTGTTTGTGTGTGTGTGTGTTTGTGTGTGTGTGTGTTTGTGTGTGTGTGTGTGTGTGTTTGTGTGTGTGTGTGTGTTTGTGTGTGTGTGTGTGTGCGTGTGTGTGCTTTTACACGTGGCCGTGTTGCATTTAACGCATGTCTGTATGCGTGCATGTGTGTGTGTGTGTGTGTGTGTGTACAGGTATGGCATCTTCATCTGCCTCGAATGCAGTGGCGTCCATCGTTCCCTTGGTGTTCACCTCAGCTTCGTCCGCAGCCTCTCCATGGACAAGTGGAAGGTGCGTGGCGGGTGTTGCATGCAAACGCCCTCTTCTCTTCGCCTTGACGCACACGCACCGCACGGTTGAGTTGGACTCGCGCGCGCATCTTCCCAACTCATCATTACCTGTCTCTCCTTTGCTTCAACGCCAGGATGAGGAGCTCGAACGCATGAAGATTGGTGGGAACAAGCGATTACAGGAATGGTTCGATGCACGCGACGTACCTCGCAGTAAGGGCACATCAATGGACCACACACAGGCGTGTATGTTCGTGTGTGTGTGTGTGTGTGTGTTCGTGTGTGGACGTCATTCTTCCCTGCATCTCTCTCTGTCTCTCTGTCCGTTTCTCTCTGCCTCTATACATCTCTCTCTCTCACTCACACACACACACTCTCTCTCTCTCTGCCTCTGCCTCTCTACAAATTCGCCTTGTGCATCTCCGCCCGAAGGCGCCACCATGCAAGAGAAGTACAACACGAAAGCTGCAGGTGAGATTATCATACTCCCATGTGCATGTGAATTCTGCGCAACGCGTCCCCCTTTGGACCTTTGATCGCATTGCACCATCAACACTCACCGCTTTTCAACGCACGCACGAACGCACACGCACATGTGCCAACACACGCACGCACATACACGCACGTGTGCCAACACACATCCATGCACACACGTTCACGTCCCCGTGCTGACAGCACTCTACCGCGACATGATTGCAACGGAGGCGCGAGGGGACAAATGGAACGAGGCCACGAGCCCAGCTCAATCTTGGGTCCCTCCAGCGTAAGCATAGCGTGTCGAGTGTCTGTGTGTCTGTGTGTCCGTGCGTGTGTCTGTGTCTGTGTGGTTGTGACAGTGCCTGTGTCTGCCTTGTTTCTGCCTATGCGCGGCTGCGATGCGTGCAATGCCGTTGCTTTGTGCTTGCCCCGCGCTCACGCCCGCGCGTGCTTCTGGCGGACTGCACGCCTGCGACAGGACGCAATCGATCACAAACGCTCGATCAGAGTACGAGGTTGCAAACGAGGTGCGTTGTGCCCTCAACGATGTGGCATGGAATACCAAAATGTCACTCGCACAACCACTGCTTTTCCTCTTTCTCCTTGTCCTACTCCCGCTCCATGTTCTCTCCTCACCCAAACCACCTCACCTCCCTTTGGCTCACGCCGCCTGACTCCTCTCTGCTCTCAGGACACGAGGCCGATGCGCGGCTTTGGGTCGTCCGGTGCACACACATCGTCGTCGTCATCGCAGGACATACAGGCAGACAAGCTGCTGGAGGACGCCATGAGCAGTCTCAGGACGGGCTGGTCCGTCTTCTCAAAGGGTGTGTGTATGGGTGTGTGTGTGTGTGTGCGTGTGTCTGTCTGTGTCTGTCTGTTGTTTGCGTGTGTGTGCATGTGTGCAAAAAGAGGAGAGAAACCTTACAACTCGAGTGCGCTGGTGCAAGTGTGACTGACATGCGCTCAATGTGTTGTTTGGCTCAACCATGTTCAGGTGCGGCCCAGTTTGCTTCCTCTGTCAACGACACCGTTATCAAACCAACATCGGAGAAGGTTTGCCAGAACTTGCACACGCACGCCCAATCACCTCCCTTTGTGTGACTGCTTTGAACGAGTACAACACCACACACACGCACACACGCACGCACGCACGCGCGCACCTGCACACACACACACACACACACACACACACACACTCCCTCACTCACACACACACACACACACTTAAACACGCTTTCACCCTCACACGCACGCACACGCACGCACACGCACACACGCACGCACGCGGTTGTGCAGGTGTCGGATGCCACGTTCTGGAATGACGTGGGCACAAACCTCCAGACTGGGTTTCAGTCTGTTGTGTCCAAGACGAGTGAAGGCTTCACCAACCTCTCCACAATGCTGCAGGACGACCGACCAAGGTGCCCGGTGGACCCCGTGTTCTCATGTCATTGTTCCGCTCCTGTATGCCTGCTCATTTCTCCCTCATCCCCCTTCCCATCCCCTTCCTCCGCCACACACACACACACACACACACACACACACACACACACACACACACACACACACACACACACACACACACACACACACACACACACACACACACACACACACACACACCCTCTCCCAAACCACACACCACCTAGGCGCGGGACTGCTGAGCCGCAAGCGCCACCGGCGAGCACGGCGACGAGGAAACAGCCATCCCGCCCCAGCAGAGGCAAGCCAAAGCCCAAGCAGCAGGAGGACGACGATGACGACGGCTGGGACGACTGGTAGTAGAGAGAGGGCTGGAGTGTAGTCATGTCACACGCTTCAATTGCCAGGCACGGAGGAGGTGGGGAGAAGAGGATAAGCGAGTTGGATATGGGCTGCGCTGTCGTGTTTGACGACATACCCGAGTATTGTGACATGTTGTGACAGATTAAAGCTTCTCACGACCCTGTTCTTCATCACCACTGCCCACTCCTCCGCCATCAAAGCAATCTCCGAGCAACCATCTTGCACTTTCAGAGACATGGGTTTGCTTTCTGTTGTATTGGGGTATCATTTTGAACAAAAGGTGTGGGAATCATGCACTCGCTTGTGCATTCTGCGTTCATCATCGACAACCAGCCAAAGCGAAAGGGGGGGAAACAAGAGTGGAGAGGGGAAAGAGATGCGACAACGAAAGAAGGGAAGGTGCTGGGGATGGAAGGGACAGACAAAACGCGTAACAGCGAGGCAGGATGGTAGACCACACCGCAATGAGAAAAGATGGCCTTCGTTGCGCCGTGTGCGTGCGTGGTGGTTGGTGGTTGG